TCATTACGACCTAAATATAACGTGTCACAAGACCGTGGGAGTACCACGCCATGTAACCACAGAATCGAGTGTTATCATGGAAGACAGAAAGTAACGTGGAACGACACCACGATCCGTACACATGTTATCAAACCATGTGTCATATCATCGGTAACTGGCGAGTACGTTCAGCTGAAAGACAGCATACTGAGACCATAGAACCAATGAGGTCACAGGTCGAGGTGGGCGGCTTTTTAAAGGTCATCAGACAGCCATAAACTGGGGAGGTGGAACTGGACGAACCGGACGGGACCGAATGGCACCGAACGGGACTGAAGCCGAAGCGGCAGGAACAGAACCAGTTCGGGTCGGCTTAACCCGCGCCCTGCTGGGGGGGGGGGGGGTGTTTGAACACCCCCCCTTGTGGTTTTTCGCGAATATCTCAAAAAAGGCGGCGCGGAGCGCCGCCGTTTTTGGTACACCTTATCATACATCAATTCTACACATGTTGTAAAAATTTCAGACCAAGGTCATTCAAGGTCAGGTCACCAGGTCACTTGAAGTGACCGCACCTCATAAAAAGTTTCAATGTCTGTCATAGCTACACCGAGTTACCGATCGCTTTGAAACTTTCAGCGATTGCTAAGAGCAATAGCATGTACAAAATGTATATCTCAGAATTTTGATATCGATGACCTAAGGTCAGGTCAATTTTGCGACCTCCCCATTATAAGTCAATGGGAGAAAATTGAAATGCGCCTCTTTTGGACGAAAGGCATTATAAACACTCCCAAACACTGAATTACAAGTGGTTTAGACACACTGAACATGAAAATGGTGTCCGTGACCCCTGTTTATGCCCTGAGGTCATCTTAGGTCACGAATGGTATCTAACAGTTTTTCGCAAATAACTTTTGATAGAGGCATGCTAGAGCGATGAAAACGTCTTAGATGTGTTCAGCTCGACGATACGGATCGACTGATATGCAACATGACCCTTTCCGGTCAGGTCATGACCTTGACCTGAGGTCAAATTTTCAAGTTGACCTTTCAAGGTCAAATTATAGTTCATTCGATGCGTCTTGACGAGAGGAACACGATGCCGGTAAAAGTAAGCTCGTACAAGGCTTGGGTCAAAAGTTATTGCAGAAAAACTAATTCCGAAAAAAATTGGCTATTTTTGCAGTTTTTGCCCCCTGCAGGCAAAACCGTTGACGTTAGGTCAAATCTGAGAGAATTACTCAGAAAGGGCGTTAATAGGGCTATCGAATGCGCTTTTCCGCGGCGCTGTAGCTCTATTGGTTCCCGAGTTATGCGTTGGCTTCTTGGAAATTGTCGACATTCGACCTGGAAATCGGCGAAATTTTGCCTTCAGTGACCTCTGGTGACCTGACCTTTGACCTGACCAAAAAATTGACCGAAGTGATTTCCTCATTATTTTTGACGCTCTGTCGAACGCCGTCTTTCGCGTATCGCTACGTGGCCCAGGAGCCGAGTTAGAAGGGGGGTGTTCAAACACCCCCCCCCCCCCCCCCCCCCCAGCAGGGCGTGGAAATCCAGGACCCCCAGCCGGGCGCGGGTTAAACTGCTTTCAGTCACACATCGAGGCACTGAGGTCTAAGGCCTCTTGCACTAAAATCCTCTTGCATCAATCCTTGGATTATGTATGTTGCACCGTACACCTACTCCAAGACGGAAAGAAATTCACGGAAATATCCGTGAAAATTTACCTATAAATTTTACCAAGCACCTGTAGCCTTACGTTATGGGCTAGTACAAAATGATTCATCACAGTTGGGTAATGGGTTAGCTACTGAAATCGGTTTTTCGATTCTACCTAGCTGCTATGTAGTTTGGTGCAAGAGGCCTCTGGTCGCGTTGATACGGTGTCATGGTCCTCGACACACAGCTATAACCGCGTCTGAAGGGACACCGCCGCCGTCGGGCGAGACGATGCTGACGAGCTAGGCTGCCATATGAGAACGCCAGCTGACGACTCGTTACGGTTCGATGATGTCCGGGAAATCGCTAAACGCATCAGCGCGCTGGGTCGGCCTCATACAGGCTGTAGGTACCGCTATTTCACGTTAGTATCGTGATGGTCCACGACCTGTGGTTATCCACAGGTCGACGACCAATGGCGGTCGTCGAGAGGCCGAACGACGTCATCGATAAAAATTGCTCATGGCTTGGGCTTTCTACACATTTCCTTTCAGCGAAATCAACAGAACAAGACCGGAGGACATTGACACATGACATTAACCCTCGCCCGTATTGGTGTTTTTCCAGCCACGAACGTATAAGGGGGGGGGGTCCGTTGGACCCCCCCCCCCCTTGCCGTTTCGTCCCTGATCGAGCTAGAGCTTCGCGGAAAAAAACGAGCGTGCTGCCCGCGACGAGAGAAAGCCGATGATACCCAATGTTAAGGTCCTGGGTCATCGGTTGACCTTCCAGGTCAGGTCAATGACCCAAAAGTCGGGAAAATCGGGACCTGTTAGAACGTCGTAAAACGTGGCTGCTATGGGGTTTTTCGGGGTGCTGATCACGCATATCATGTTAGTTATGCTCACTGATGATGTCTTCATGCATTAAGGCCAGGTCGGGTCAGGTCAGGTCAGGTCAACCAGTAAGGATTTTGCCGGGTATTCGTAGTAGCCTCTGACAGCTTCGTAACATGTTACGAAGGCACCAAAACTGCTTCGTAAATGTTCAAATGGTTGCTAAATTCGAATTCAGCTCCAAAAACTAGCCCAGAAACATGCAAAACTCGAAAAAGTGAACCGAGGTCATCAAAGATCAATGACCTGACCTGACCTTCCGGTGACCTTGACACCCACCCTAATGCATGGGAGCAACATCATATCCCATGTTTGAACGCTTGAAACCACAAAAAGACTGCTAACGCGCGGCTAATGCGAGCCGACATACGCCGAATCGCGATTCCGGCCAAACATGGTCTCGCAAAGTAGGTCACAGGTCAAAGGTCATTAGGGTCAGGGTCATGAAATTTTCAGGGTAGGTGTAAAATTGAATAACGCGAGGGTACTGAAAGTTTCGGCGCGATCGGCCGCTTTTTACGCGAGTTATTTGCGAAAAACAGAGGGGGGTCCGTTCGACCCCCCCCCCCCCCTCCCTATACGGGCGAGGGTTGATCAGCTCAACCGGTTCATGTCAAAGCCAAGTCTGTCACGAGATGAGCTCTAAGCTGACGCGATCAGACACAAGATAAACTGCCAAGCAAATGCTACCGATTCTTAACTAGTTATGCAGTACGAGGTAACCGAAAATGAGCTCGCTATGGGACTCCACATAGACCTATGTACAGAGGTCTATAGATTCTCCTATCCCAATCCCCTCCCCTCGCCTCCCCAGGCTGCCAATGCACAGCAGTGGCGCCCACCTGATAACGACGGTCCGTTCTCCTTCGGCAGTGGAGCAGCTCCCGTTCGGAGGCGTCGGCACCAGCGGCATGGGCGCCTACCACGGCAAGCACTCGTTCGACACGTTCAGCCACTACAAGCCGGTGCTGGAGCGCAACTACAACCCCGTGGCAGAGCTCTGCTGCTCGTAAGACGCACTGCCGGGAAGAGAGGGACTGACACGGCGAGAGATATGATCCTTCTCCCCGCTTACCGCTCCCCCTGGATGGTATCAAATTCGCTTAGACGAGCAGGTGACAGCGATGGTGCTGCTATCTAGTTCCCCGTTGTGTGAGCCTAGTAGTGCTTGATATTGGCCATAGATGGCAGGGCAGGTATCATCGGCAACTTGTGCATCGCATTAGATGAATTTTTAGTGATACCAAGCTCAAACATTCACGAAGCTGTCTTTCTCCGTCCAAGGTTAAGAACGCCGATTGGCATTCTTCAGTGTCCTTTATTCTCCCTATGACCCTCCTCCCTTCCCACAGCGTGCGGTACCCGCCGTATGAGCCCACGAAGACGCGGCTGGCCAAACTGCTGCTCAAGAACCCCGCTGTGCCCGACCTGAGCGCCGTCAAATACACCATCGTGTTCCTGCTGGGACTACTGTCGATTTACCTGATACGCGTCTTTGCCCAGGTAAGCCCAAAATGCTACAAAAATATGTTGCTAAGAAATGGCTAACACGTGGAAGGAGCTAATACCCGACAATCCGCCCTTCTTATTACAATGCACATTTCAGCTATTTTCCGGCCGAGTATAGGTCCTCAATTTGCACCTCATAACAAAAAGCAATGTTCCACCGCTCAGTGACATACCTTATCTTTCTCTTCACAGGCGCTGGGGTACGAGGACCGACTGCCCGACTTCCTTGCCTAGCCGACCGGCCTGCAATACGGACTCAAACCGTACCAAAACACAGCAATACTCAAAGATCGTCCGGACGGCTCAGTGAGAGGCATTCCAGGGCCATAGCGTCGGCGCGTTACCCCACCATTGACTGCTCATGACGGCGGTGAAAATGCACAGCGGTCGAATTGCCTTTCTAAGAGCACCGCTGTTGTAGGATTTCGGCAGGAGCTCGATAAAGTTACAACAGCACAGAATAACAGAAGTGAGGTCCAGATACAAGGTTACCACCGGTTCTCTCACAGGTGACTATGTTCAATGCTTAATGCTCACTGTTCAGCTCCAGCAACTCGCTCATCTCCTGCACTGGTACAAAACGGGTGTAGTGACTCGCTCTTCGGAGTTTTTTTTTAGGCGCATGGTTGCTTTTGTATTTGTAAATACGGTCCTGATGTGTACAAACTGTAATTCACAACTATACGCCCCATGGTGTTTTGGGTGCAATCGAAATAAAGGGCCAGTATCAACATTATATGCTGCTCTGCTAAAATCCAAAACTATGACAAACCGTGACTCATGAGTGATGAGTGCAAATTGCAATGTGAGTTGGGGTTTGCAGTACAATTACAACCGCTCATCTCCATCAAAAACTCGCCAATTTCAAGTCAACGCTGACACCAAAATATCTAGATTGAGCCTGGTTGAAAACCTCGTGGAAACCCTCATATTCCCAATACTGAATACACAAGCTGAATAGAATGTGCAGTATATTCCAAAGCACGCTTTGGATTTCGGCGTAGACAGCCTTCACAATAACACACGAATATCGGCCGATTCAGTGTAGCTCGATCTGACACGTGGGGTGCTCCCCAAACAACAGCACGTGACCTAGTGCTACCCGTCGCCATGACAACCGCGCCGGACCAGCGCCGACAGGACGGAATGGTGTATGTGTATGCGTGTTTCGTGTAGGTATGTGCGTGTGTATGACAGGTATGGCGGCGCGACAAGTGTGGATGGAAAGCGATCACTGCCGCCCCATTACCATAGCCTGTTAACATTTTCCACATCACACATCAGAGAGATCAGATGAAACGAACGCCGGCCTAAGGTAGCTGCGAGTGTGTGTCTGTGTTTGTGTCACAACAGCGCTACAAAACATGCACAGGACACCAGCCAGCCTGACATACACATCAACACAATGACCAATATAGAATAATTAGAGCGTACCTCTCGTACCTCTGGAAATAAACATCTTAAAATATCATAGAACGATCACCAGCACCACCGCTTCTCATGCTCAAGATGTGCACAAATAAATAACAAAATATTATAAAATCATCCACACCAGCGTCCGATATTGCAGAACAATGTGGCCAGTCGCCAGTCTTAGAAATCTGCTCTTTGGAACCTTATGTCTTCGTAAGCGGCATATCCTCATTTCAAGACGGTGGAGGCAATGTGGACCAAGACAGCGGGTACGCCACATATTACCCTGCTTCGCGCAGGGGAATACCGCGCAGGGTACCGACCGCGGTGGAAACCAACCCATGTGTGAAGGTGCAGGACTGGTGAGTGCGCCCAGTGGGGCCCAGTAGTCCGTGCTGGGGAGCGTGTAGCGTTGGTGAACCTGCCTCCAGCACTTCTGAGCCGCCGCCCAGCAGTCTGGGAGGGGTACTTTCTGTCCAGCAGACCAGCGGCAGCCGCCCAGCACTGGGAGAGGGTTGCTTTCAGCCCACCATACCACGCCAGTGGACGGAGCTCAGAAACCAGGGAAACCAGACAGCGCCAAGGTCGGCCGTGCCCGCGCACGGAGACGGCGCTAGCGGCCTCTGGTGTCAACCGTACCCGAGGGGAGCGATCCACTCAATCTGACAGGCACCTCCAACTGGCTAGCTGTCACACCCACGCACACTGTGATACCACCCGTTCGGTAGACCCACCCACACCCCCAGACAGGCTCTCACCCTCCCCGCCGGACCCCGTCCCGACCTCATCCCGATCGGTGCCACCCACCAGAGACCACCCTCCGCCCGCCTACCGGTCTGACCCGGCGTCAGAGGTCGCTTCGAGCGGTCGGTGCGCCGTCGACAGCACGCTAGCCGTTGTACGCGTAGTCAGCCTTGTTGTGCATGATGAGCTTGTTGTCGACGAAGTAGAAGCTGTCCGAGCGCGTCTCGTACGGGTGTCGGATCATTTCCTCCACTGTGGACATGCAAGAGAGAGGTCAGATCAGGTCAAGTCAGGTCAGATACATTGAAGTCGGTCTCTGAGACTCGATTTAAGTCAAGTGTGTCATTTGTGCGTAGGTTGATTTTGTAGTGTAGCCAGATCCAAATTTTCCACGGTAAAAAATGAGAAAAAGCGACATTATCACTTAGGGAGGATGGGACGATGCCACGAAAACAGACGCAGAAGAGTCGTTAGGCACACTGGAGTGTGGCCAGCGGTTTCAAAGCCAGCCCAGTGTTTCTTCATACCGTCGCCTATCAAAAACGTCTTCGTATCCCAATTTGTTATCAGAAAAGTGTCTGGTCACAGTTCTGCCGTGCAAAGGCAAAAACTACTATGTGAGGTCAGAAATCTGACCTCACATAGAAGTTTTTGCCTTTGCACGGCAGAGTTTGTAAACTCAGTGTCGGGCAATGACGCTATTTCAAGTTCAGAGTTCAGTTTATCCAGTCTTAACGAACGACGTCAACCCTATGTTCAAAAGTGACGTCGCTCTATCAAGCCCGGTGCCTATGACGTCACTAAACTCGGTCAACTGTTTACCCGGTACGGTGTAAACACACCACTGGTGCACCGTCAATACACGGTTCCACGGGCGGCGGGCAGGTGTGGAGGGTAGTCGACCGGGGCGGGGCGGGGACGGGGGCGGGGGAGGCCGATTCAGCCACGGCGCTCGTCTCTCGATCGACCGCCGGACGACCTCCTCGCCTGACCGCTCCGGCAGCAGTATGGCGTGACACAGACATTGCCGTACGGAGCACGGCTGATCATGACCCGTCAGAGGCAGGATACCGGGCAGCGCTAGATCCACCCGCACACGCTTCGAGTACAGCGAATATCGAACATAGATATTAGATAGAGCTAAACATTCCGTGGTACTCGAACAACGTCATCCAGCAGAGCCAATATCTCGGCGGGATTCCTACCAGTCCCCACGGGGCACAGCGGTTGCCATTAATAACCCTCTGGGGAGGCAGACGGGCGGCTGTATGGCTGTGGCTGAGCCGGCTGAGTGATTTAGTCCCGTGTGCCGGGTAGGGTGAGCCGCCGCGACCCAGCTGCGGCGTTCAGCCTGCCGTCGTGTCGCGCACTCAATGCCCCACCGTCGCCGGCGACGGCGGTGGTCGATGACCGTGTTTGTATCGCGCGAGGCTCCTGGACGACAGAGGTGCACGGTGCCCCGCCCCTCCCCCTGCACAGTAAGGCGGTGGCCCGATCAATTGCGGCTAACGCAGCCAGCCGGAGCGGCCGGCCGGTGCTGCAGCCTGCTTAGTCCTTACATCGCCGACGCACCGTTCGAGGGCAAAGGAGCCAGGCAGCCGTCACTAGAGAGGGACGCCCCTAACGTCAGACCTCCGTTGTCAACTGGGACGGCGACGCTACCTACAGACGACACCGACACTCTCTAACGAGCAGCGATGTGCCTCAGATCAGGCGGAAAACTGACGGGCAACGTTCTAAGAAAGCCAGTCAGATTAGGGCGGGCTCGTGTGATGACGTGGAGTCGGGCAGTTAATATAAGGTTGTCGTGTCTAGGTGCATAATAAATAACCAGAGCGGTGCAGCATTACGACGAAATAGAACGAATAAGACGCGGAGGGATGATCAGCGTTCAGCAGTTAGGTAAGGCTGCTCCGAGAAAAATGATGTGATAAGAAGGATTTGTCAACCAATGCGGGCGATTGGTGACGTCTATGGCTCGTAGAAACAATAATTAATTTCTAAAACGAATACAGCAGTGAGCGGAACAGCAAACTGGATGGTCACCTCGGTCGGATGTTTCAAATCACAAGCATGCAACAGCTGATTGGAGCGAAAATACGTCTAAATGCAGCGCGAGCCTAATGTTACAATTCAAAACCGTACACAAAGCTTTTCTTGTAATAGCAAATGAGACAGTTACCCATAAGGTAGAGCACTGGAGTAAAAATAGCAAACATTTTCGCATGTAAGCGATCGTAAGATTATACGTGATCAGGAGGTAAACCACCGTCCCGACTAAAGTTCTAATCACAAATCGCAGTGTCGGCTGCCGCCCAGCCTACCTGTGTCGGGACCGATGCTGGGAAACTCGTAGATGTGCTCGCAAGTGTTTCGCGAGTTCGGAATGCAGAAGCCAAACTCAAAGTCGAACGTCTTGAGGAGTTTTCCGCGGAAGAAATGGCGCTCGATCATTCGGAAATTATTCACAGGCTGGTCACCGACGGAGAACTCCACACTGCAACATAGAACATAACACAGTCATAGAACAACCAGTCGAACATAGATCAGGCAACAGAACCAGAGCCAATTGAAACGAGTTCAGCTGCTTATTTCGATGCATCATTTTGCAATCAGTACTCATAAAATCAACTGACGAACAAGCAATTCATTGATGCGTCGACAAAAAGCAATATGCGTCCGTAACGTTAACGATCGATGGGAACAATTAAACCCCTTCTCTACGCTGTTCCGTAGTCGCTCAAGGGACGATATTATACATACATTCAGCATCTATTTAACGGTGTCATTGGGAACCAATTAACTGCACACGCCACTTTCAATGCGTGCTTTATTTTTTGTGACTGCACTCACACTGAGTTCATTCAATAAGACATTATAAGCCCTGTCCTGTCTGCAGACGGAAACCACCAGCTCCATCGCCCATCCCCACATCATCCGGTCCGACTCACGTGGCGCCAATTGCCTTCAACTGGAGAAATTTGGGCGTGAAATGGTAGCGCACGAAGCGGCCAGCGTTGTGGTCCAGCTCTTCCGACTCACCACCCTCCTCTGGCTCAAATTCTGTCGACAGTCAATTACAGAGAGTCAGGTCCCAGATGCAGACCAAAGGGACGGATGGCATCATTATTGATCAATGATTCGCTCTTGATCGTACCAATGTTTTGCGTTTCTATTTACATAGAGTTGATGGCATAAAGGATTGACTTCGCACAAGCACAAAATCTTCTAAACTTACCAACAGTAGGTTTAGCGATTTCGAAAAGCACTGCGCCGCTGTCTAGATCACGTATCTTGAACCGCGTGAAGTCAATCTCGTAAACATTGGCCTCAGGAGCGCACAGGTAGTCTGAAAATCGGTTAGGTGGTCAATGATCATTGCTCAAAAGTTGCTAAGTGCTGACTGTAATATGTAAGGTTGGAACTTCAGATGACAAATCTGAATACTGGAACGTAATCATCAAACATTGCACGCTAACCCTAACGCAGAATGCCACGCCGTGTAGAGATGGAGGTCTCTCCATTGACCTTATGAGACGAGTAACAGGCTCAGGCAGGAAAAGACAGCACGACGGAAACGTGGGTCACGCAATGGCTCTGTTGTCATGGTAACATAGTGCATGGACCTCGACACTCAACATAGTCGCCTTTTTCTTCGTACAGAGTAGAGTTCAGTCTGTATTCCGGTTATCCATCAGATGATACGCAGTTTAACACAATACACCAAATAAAGTGTCGAGTGTCGACACAAAAGTATTGCACCAACCAAGCTTTTGCATGAGTTCACAATATTGCATATCAATGTTGCATTTGTAATATATCAAGTCACATCACGGACAAACTTAAACACATTAACTCGACTCCTAACAGCTCTGTCTAGCATCTTATAGTCTATGACTCTATTCGATTAAAAAATGAACTTCAAAGCCTGAGCGCAGCTATGTTCTGTCAAAAATTCTTTTGGTTGGCACTTTATGCTGGGAACATGATATTTTGCTTATTATTTATGCTAGGTACATATTTATGCTACATATTGCTACATATTTATGCCACTTTTCTTTCCCCGAGGCTCCTGCTCTTTGCAACAGTTTGCTAACACACTTACTTTGTGTAATGTTATCCAGCCGGAGCACGTCCTCTGGTGTGATCACACCTTTAGCCAAGAGGGCCTCCTCGGTCATAGCCTCTGCAACACAGTTGCATAGTCGTGAGATCAATGGGGAAGCGTGAGGCCCAATGTCACGCTCCATTGGACTCATATACACCAGAACTGGGATGAATAGGCATGCATAAAAATTACACCAGCCATGTACCTATACATAGTTTTAAGTAATCAGAACGTCAAAGAACAGGTGGCTATAACTTATAAGGACCCGGTTCAAGTCCCTCAGCCTCAGGCTTGACATATTACAAGACCCCTGTATAAAATGGTCCCCATTCTGCATTTCTTGAAGGCAGTCATGTAACACTGATGTTAGTTGTCGGACTTTCGTCCCCGTCTTGAGTTGAGATGTTAGTTTCACAACGTTTCGGCCAGTTACTTCTCCGGCCGTCGTCAGGTGTTCTTTGGCCCTTAGAAGGACCTGGATGTTGGTGGCGTTGCGCCGTACGCGTCATACCGTTCGAAAGCTCCTGTAGTCAGCGGGAATCGAACTCGGGTTTCCCCGGTGATAGTCCACGGTTCTAACCACTCCACTATCGAGGCAGACATCGTTATGGAGCTGGAAACTTGGTGTCATTTATCCCCAAGATGTTTTTGTGATTTCCTTAGTAGTGGGAGCCATATTGGGCTGATGTCAACGCTTGGCTTGCTGATGGGGTTGCTAGCCAGCGCCATGTGTGCGGCTTCCTTGATTTTTCTGATTTTCCAGTGTGGCTCCTTGTCGATGATGGTGGTATCATCCCAAGCAGGTCTGTGATCTCCTTCAGACCATGCATGCTCCGCCACACCGGATTTCAGTGTTTCGCCTCGGATGGTGGCCTTCCTGTGTTCTTCGAGCCTGACCGCCAGTGGGCGGCCAGTCTCGCCCTTGTATGACCTGCCGCAGCTGCACGGGATGTCGTATATGCAGTTCTTTGTTTTCTCCTTGGTGGTTGGCGGTCTGACCTTTGTGAGTGACCTGCGGAGGGTGGTGGTACTTCTGAACACCGTCCTGATGTTGTATGCTCCGCAGATTCGCCTTAGCTTCTCTGACAGTCCTCTGTTGTATGGGAGGGATACTGTCGCGATGGGCTTATCCCTTGGTTGTTGTTGGGATGCTTCCTTGGGTTTGTGTTTCATGAAGCTCGTTGGGTATCCGTTTCTCCTGAAGTTGCTGGTGAGGCGTGACATTTCCATCTTTCTGGCTGCTTCGTCTCCACAGATGTTGGTGGCTCGGGTCTGCAGGCATCTTACGATACCTTTCTTGACTGTGTCTGGGTGGTGTGACTTGAAGTTGAGGTAGCGGTCGGTCGCTGTTGGTTTGCGGTAGACCGATGTTCTGAATGCTTCCTCAGATTTCTCCACTTGGACGTCAAGGAATGGTAGTTTGTTGTCGACTTCTGTTTCCATTGTGAATTGGATGGAGGGTCGGAGGCTGTTGAGGTGGTCTAGGAACGGTGTTATGTCCTCGCGATGGTCCCACAGGACGAATGTGTCGTCGACATATCGCAGCCACAGGGATGGTTTCAGTGGTGCTGTTTGTAAGGCCAGTTCCTCGAAGTGTTCCATGTAGATGTTGGCGATCACCGGTGACAGGGGTGAACCCATGGCCATTCCTTCAGTTTGTTGGTAGTAGTCATCGCCCAGTTGGAAGGCGGTGGTGGTGACACAGAATGTCAGGAGTTCCATGATGTCATCAGTCGGGATTGTCGTTCTTTCGGGCAGTGTATCGTCGCTCTCCAGTCTTGTCCTCACTATGCTCAGAGCTTCGGTAGTGGGCACATTGGTGAACAGACTCACCACATCGAAGCTTACCATTTGCATGTTCGGCGAAGGTCGCATGGCCTGAACCAGTGAGACGAAGTGGGCTGAGTTCTTGACATATGTAGGTGTTTTGCCACTCAGTGGGTTGATGATCTTGACGAGGAACTGGCTCAGAGGATGGCAGGCTGAGCCACGGCAGCTTACTATTGGTCTTAGCGGTACATTGGTCTTGTGTACCTTTGGTAGCCCGTACATGTGTGGAAGTTTGCTGTGATGTTGGCTCAGCTTTCTGTACTGGGCGTCCGTGAGTTGTTCCTTGTCCTTGTTCTTCTTAAGGAGCTTTGTTAGTTTGCGTTCACAGGCCGGGGTTGGGTCTTTCTTCAGTTTGGTGTACGATCCATCTGTCACAATGCTGTTCATCTTGTGGTCGTATTCCTTCTTGTCCATGACAACGGTGGTGTTTCCTTTGTCTGCTGGAAGTATGATGATGCCGCCGTCTTGTTTGAGGTTGTTGATTGCTGCCAGTTCCTCTTTGGTGGTATTGGCCTTTGGCGGTTTGGCCCTTTCCAATGCATGCCTGACTTTCCAGCGTAGTTCTTCTGCATGTTCTCTGTTAATGTGGGATGTTGCTTCCTCGATTGGGGCCACGATGTCCATGTTGTTTATCCGCTTGGTGGATGTTGCGAAGTTGAGTCCCTTGTTGAGTATGGTCTCTTCAGATGCCGACAGTTGTCGCTTGCTGAGGTTCACTACAGCTCTGATGGGCTGTAACGGAGTCCTGGTAGGTGCGATCTTCTTCAGTTTTTCGAGTTTTGTCATATGCTGCTTCTTTGTGGCATGGTCCACGATGGTATGTGACCTGATGACTGATGATTTGATGCGGTTGAAGTCGTCGGAGCATGTTACTTTTGAGCGGATGGTTTCTTCGATGGCAGATATTGATTGTTCGAGTTTCGCTTTGCTGTGTCGATGGAAGGCGATCCTTTCTCTTATGAGAGCTCGGCTGGCTTTCTCTCCGATTCGTCTCGCTTGTTTGGTGTACACAGGTGTCTTTAGTCTCAGTCCATTAGGGATGATATCGTTATCCCGGCATCTGCACATGAATGTCAGATGGTTCTTCTCTTTTGCTAGCTTGATGTTCAGCTTCTCCCATTTTCGCCAGTTGTTCACTGTTTCGGGTCCGTACCGATCAGATATAGTTCTTCTGAATGCTTGAGACGAGGTGTTAGTATCACTGATGTTAGTTGTCGGACTTTCGTCCCCGTCTTGAGTTGAGATGTTAGTTTCACAACGTTTCGGCCAGTTACTTCTCCGGCCGTCGTCAGGTGTTCTTTGGCCCTTAGAAGGACCTGGATGTTGGTGGCGTTGCGCCGTACGCGTCATACCGTTCGAAAGCTCCTGTAGTCAGCGGGAATCGAACTCGGGTTTCCCCGGTGATAGTCCACGGTTCTAACCACTCCACTATCGAGGCAGACATCGTTATGGAGCTGGAAACTTGGTGTCATTTATCCCCCAGATGTTTTTGTGATTTCCTTAGTAGTGGGAGCCATATTGGGCTGATGTCAACGCTTGGCTTGCTGATGGGGTTGCTAGCCAGCGCCATGTGTGCGGCTTCCTTGATTTTTCTGATTTTCCAGTGTGGCTCCTTGTCGATGATGGTGGTATCACCCCAAGCAGGTCTGTGATCTCCTTCAGACCATGCATGCTCCGCCACACCGGATTTCAGTGTTTCGCCTCGGATGGTGGCCTTCCTGTGTTCTTCGAGCCTGACCGCCAGTGGGCGGCCAGTCTCGCCCTTGTATGACCTGCCGCAGCTGCACGGGATGTCGTATATGCAGTTCTTTGTTTTCTCCTTGGTGGTTGGCGGTCTGACCTTTGTGAGTGACCTGCGGAGGGTGGTGGTACTTCTGAACACCGTCCTGATGTTGTATGCTCCGCAGATTCGCCTTAGCTTCTCTGACAGTCCTCTGTTGTATGGGAGGGATACTGTCGCGATGGGCTTATCCCTTGGTTGTTGTTGGGATGCTTCCTTGGGTTTGTGTTTCATGAAGCTCGTTGGGTATCCGTTTCTCCTGAAGTTGCTGGTGAGGCGTGACATTTCCATCTTTCTGGCTGCTTCGTCTCCACAGATGTTGGTGGCTCGGGTCTGCAGGCATCTTACGATACCTTTCTTGACTGTGTCTGGGTGGTGTGACTTGAAGTTGAGGTAGCGGTCGGTCGCTGTTGGTTTGCGGTAGACCGATGTTCTGAATGCTTCCTCAGATTTTTCCACTTGGACGTCAAGGAATGGTAGTTTGTTGTCGACTTCTGTTTCCATTGTGAATTGGATGGAGGGTCGGAGGCTGTTGAGGTGGTCTAGGAACGGTGTTATGTCCTCGCGATGGTCCCACAGGACGAATGTGTCGTCGACATATCGCAGCCACAGGGATGGTTTCAGTGGTGCTGTTTGTAAGGCCAGTTCCTCGAAGTGTTCCATGTAGATGTTGGCGATCACCGGTGACAGGGGTGAACCCATGGCCATTCCTTCAGTTTGTTGGTAGTAGTCATCGCCCAGTTGGAAGGCGGTGGTGGTGACACAGAATGTCAGGAGTTCCATGATGTCATCAGTCGGGATTGTCGTTCTTTCGGGCAGTGTATCGTCGCTCTCCAGTCTTGTCCTCACTATGCTCAGAGCTTCGGTAGTGGGCACATTGGTGAACAGACTCACCACATCGAAGCTTACCATTTGCATGTTCGGCGAAGGTCGCATGGCCTGAACCAGTGAGACGAAGTGGGCTGAGTTCTTGACATATGTAGGTGTTTTGCCACTCAGTGGGTTGATGATCTTGACGAGGAACTGGCTCAGAGGATGGCAGGCTGAGCCACGGCAGCTTACTATTGGTCTTAGCGGTACATTGGTCTTGTGTACCTTTGGTAGCCCGTACATGTGTGGAAGTTTGCTGTGATGTTGGCTCAGCTTTCTGTACTGGGCGTCCGTGAGTTGTTCCTTGTCCTTGTTCTTCTTAAGGAGCTTTGTTAGTTTGCGTTCACAGGCCGGGGTTGGGTCTTTCTTCAGTTTGGTGTACGATCCATCTGTCACAATGCTGTTCATCTTGTGGTCGTATTCCTTCTTGTCCATGACAACGGTGGTGTTTCCTTTGTCTGCTGGAAGTATGATGATGCCGCCGTCTTGTTTGAGGTTGTTGATTGCTGCCAGTTCCTCTTTGGTGGTATTGGCCTTTGGCGGTTTGGCCCTTTCCAATGCATGCCTGACTTTCCAGCGTAGTTCTTCTGCATGTTCTCTGTTAATGTGGGATGTTGCTTCCTCGATTGGGGCCACGATGTCCATGTTGTTTATCCGCTTGGTGGATGTTGCGAAGTTGAGTCCCTTGTTGAGTATGGTCTCTTCAGATGCCGACAGTTGTCGCTTGCTGAGGTTCACTACAGCTCTGATGGGCTGTAACGGAGTCCTGGTAGGTGCGATCTTCTTCAGTTTTTCGAGTTTTGTCATATGCTGCTTCTTTGTGGCATGGTCCACGATGGTATGTGACCTGATGACTGATGATTTGATGCGGTTGAAGTCGTCGGAGCATGTTACTTTTGAGCGGATGGTTTCTTCGATGGCAGATATTGATTGTTCGAGTTTCGCTTTGCTGTGTCGATGGAAGGCGATCCTTTCTCTTATGAGAGCTCGGCTGGCTTTCTCTCCGATTCGTCTCGCTTGTTTGGTGTACACAGGTGTCTTTAGTCTCAGTCCATTAGGGATGATGTCGTTATCCCGGCATCTGCACATGAATGTCAGATGGTTCTTCTCTTTTGCTAGCTTGATGTTCAGCTTCTCCCATTTTCGCCAGTTGTTCACTGTTTCGGGTCCGTACCGATCAGATATAGTTCTTCTGAATGCTTGAGACGAGGTGTTAGTATCACTGATGTTAGTTGTCGGACTTTCGTCCCCGTCTTGAGTTGAGATGTTAGTTTCACAACGTTTCGGCCAGTTACTTCTCCGGCCGTCGTCAGGTGTTCTTTGGCCCTTAGAAGGACCTGGATGTTGGTGGCGTTGCGCCGTACGCGTCATACCGTTCGAAAGCTCCTGTAGTCAGCGGGAATCGAACTCGGGTTTCCCCGGTGATAGTCCACGGTTCTAACCACTCCACTATCGAGGCAGACATCGTTATGGAGCTGGAAACTTGGTGTCATTTATCCCCCAGATGTTTTTGTGATTTCCTTAGTAGTGGGAGCCATATTGGGCTGATGTCAACGCTTGGCTTGCTGATGGGGTTGCTAGCCAGCGCCATGTGTGCGGCTTCCTTGATTTTTCTGATTTTCCAGTGTGGCTCCTTGTCGATGATGGTGGTATCACCCCAAGCAGGTCTGTGATCTCCTTCAGACCATGCATGCTCCGCCACACCGGATTTCAGTGTTTCGCCTCGGATGGTGGCCTTCCTGTGTTCTTCGAGCCTGACCGCCAGTGGGCGGCCAGTCTCGCCCTTGTATGACCTGCCGCAGCTGCACGGGATGTCGTATATGCAGTTCTTTGTTTTCTCCTTGGTGGTTGGCGGTCTGACCTTTGTGAGTGACCTGCGGAGGGTGGTGGTACTTCTGAACACCGTCCTGATGTTGTATGCTCCGCAGATTCGCCTTAGCTTCTCTGACAGTCCTCTGTTGTATGGGAGGGATACTGTCGCGATGGGCTTATCCCTTGGTTGTTGTTGGGATGCTTCCTTGGGTTTGTGTTTCATGAAGCTCGTTGGGTATCCGTTTCTCCTGAAGTTGCTGGTGAGGCGTGACATTTCCATCTTTCTGGCTGCTTCGTCTCCACAGATGTTGGTGGCTCGGGTCTGCAGGCATCTTACGATACCTTTCTTGACTGTGTCTGGGTGGTGTGACTTGAAGTTGAGGTAGCGGTCGGTCGCTGTTGGTTTGCGGTAGACCGATGTTCTGAATGCTTCCTCAGATTTCTCCACTTGGACGTCAAGGAATGGTAGTTTGTTGTCGACTTCTGTTTCCATTGTGAATTGGATGGAGGGTCGGAGGCTGTTGAGGTGGTCTAGGAACGGTGTTATGTCCTCGCAATGGTCCCACAGGACGAATGTGTCGTCGACATATCGCAGCCACAGGGATGGTTTCAGTGGTGCTGTTTGTAAGGCCAGTTCCTCGAAGTGTTCCATGTAGATGTTGGCGATCACCGGTGACAGGGGTGAACCCATGGCCATTCCTTCAGTTTGTTGGTAGTAGTCATCGCCCAGTTGGAAGGCGGTGGTGGTGACACAGAATGTCAGGAGTTCCATGATGTCATCAGTCGGGATTGTCGTTCTTTCGGGCAGTGTATCGTCGCTCTCCAGTCTTGTCCTCACTATGCTCAGAGCTTCGGTAGTGGGCACATTGGTGAACAGACTCACCACATCGAAGCTTACCATTTGCATGTTCGGCGAAGGTCGCATGGCCTGAACCAGTGAGACGAAGTGGGCTGAGTTCTTGACATATGTAGGTGTTTTGCCACTCAGTGGGTTGATGATCTTGACGAGGAACTGGCTCAGAGGATGGCAGGCTGAGCCACGGCAGCTTACTATTGGTCTTAGCGGTACATTGGTCTTGTGTACCTTTGGTAGCCCGTACATGTGTGGAAGTTTGCTGTGATGTTGGCTCAGCTTTCTGTACTGGGCGTCCGTGAGTTGTTCCTTGTCCTTGTTCTTCTTAAGGAGCTTTGTTAGTTTGCGTTCACAGGCCGGGGTTGGGTCTTTCTTCAGTTTGGTGTACGATCCATCTGTCACAATGCTGTTCATCTTGTGGTCGTATTCCTTCTTGTCCATGACAACGGTGGTGTTTCCTTTGTCTGCTGGAAGTATGATGATGCCGCCGTCTTGTTTGAGGTTGTTGATTGCTGCCAGTTCCTCTTTGGTGGTATTGGCCTTTGGCGGTTTGGCCCTTTCCAATGCATGCCTGACTTTCCAGCGTAGTTCTTCTGCATGTTCTCTGTTAATGTGGGATGTTGCTTCCTCGATTGGGGCCACGATGTCCATGTTGTTTATCCGCTTGGTGGATGTTGCGAAGTTGAGTCCCTTGTTGAGTATGGTCTCTTCAGATGCCGACAGTTGTCGCTTGCTGAGGTTCACTACAGCTCTGATGGGCTGTAACGGAGTCCTGGTAGGTGCGATCTTCTTCAGTTTTTCGAGTTTTGTCATATGCTGCTTCTTTGTGGCATGGTCCACGATGGTATGTGACCTGATGACTGATGATTTGATGCGGTTGAAGTCGTCGGAGCATGTTACTTTTGAGCGGATGGTTTCTTCGATGGCAGATATTGATTGTTCGAGTTTCGCTTTGCTGTGTCGATGGAAGGCGATCCTTTCTCTTATGAGAGCTCGGCTGGCTTTCTCTCCGATTCGTCTCGCTTGTTTGGTGTACACAGGTGTCTTTAGTCTCAGTCCATTAGGGATGATGTCGTTATCCCGGCATCTGCACATGAATGTCAGATGGTTCTTCTCTTTTGCTAGCTTGATGTTCAGCTTCTCCCATTTTCGCCAGTTGTTCACTGTTTCGGGTCCGTACCGATCAGATATAGTTCTTCTGAATGCTTGAGACGAGGTGTTAGTATCACTGATGTTAGTTGTCGGACTTTCGTCCCCGTCTTGAGTTGAGATGTTAGTTTCACAACGTTTCGGCCAGTTACTTCTCCGGCCGTCGTCAGGTGTTCTTTGGCCCTTAGAAGGACCTGGATGTTGGTGGCGTTGCGCCGTACGCGTCATACCGTTCGAAAGCTCCTGTAGTCAGCGGGAATCGAACTCGGGTTTCCCCGGTGATAGTCCACGGTTCTAACCACTCCACTATCGAGGCAGACATCGTTATGGAGCTGGAAACTTGGTGTCATTTATCCCCCAGATGTTTTTGTGATTTCCTTAGTAGTGGGAGCCATATTGGGCTGATGTCAACGCTTGGCTTGCTGATGGGGTTGCTAGCCAGCGCCATGTGTGCGGCTTCCTTGATTTTTCTGATTTTCCAGTGTGGCTCCTTGTCGATGATGGTGGTATCATCCCAAGCAGGTCTGTGATCTCCTTCAGACCATGCATGCTCCGCCACACCGGATTTCAGTGTTTCGCCTCGGATGGTGGCCTTCCTGTGTTCTTCGAGCCTGACCGCCAGTGGGCGGCCAGTCTCGCCCTTGTATGACCTGCCGCAGCTGCACGGGATGTCGGCCACCATCCGAGGCGAAACACTGAAATCCGGTGTGGCGGAGCATGCATGGTCTGAAGGAGATCACAGACCTGCTTGGGATGATACCACCATCATCGACAAGGAGCCACACTGGAAAATCAGAAAAATCAAGGAAGCCGCACACATGGCGCTGGCTAGCAACCCCATCAGCAAGCCAAGCGTTGACATCAGCCCAATATGGCTCCCACTACTAAGGAAATCACAAAAACATCTGGGGGATAAATGACACCAAGTTTCCAGCTCCATAACGATGTCTGCCTCGATAGTGGAGTGGTTAGAACCGTGGACTATCACCGGGGAAACCCGAGTTCGATTCCCGCTGACTACAGGAGCTTTCGAACGGTATGACGCGTACGGCGCAACGCCACCAACATCCAGGTCCTTCTAAGGGCCAAAGAACACCTGACGACGGCCGGAGAAGTAACTGGCCGAAACGTTGTGAAACTAACATCTCAACTCAAGACGGGGACGAAAGTCCGACAACTAACATCAGTGATACTAACACCTCGTCTCAAGCATTCAGAAGAACTATGCAGTCATGTAAGTCTTTAGGCATTGTACAGTTCCACTGACTTGCATGTGAATCATACAAAATAAGCTATATAAATACCCACAACAATAAGAATAATATCATCTTACCTTGACTGATCTTTGTGCTGTTGTTTTTGTTGCCTCCAGAGAGAATATCAGTGGCTTTGTCATTGGCTGCCCCACTCCTGACACTCATAGTTGTTGAGTTGGAGAGTCCTCCTTCTGAGTTTCACTGAGAAATCACCTGGAATGACAATTTACACAATGAATAAATGTCATCTGATAACAAAATCAAAATAGTAATTTTGCACTTTGCAGTCAACTTTGAATGGATTGAAAAACTGTTTGTGTGATCAGTAACATTGTTTAAAAAATCGTAATCTGAGTTAGCAAATGAAACTGCAATGAACATTAGTTCCCATTCCAATGGGTATAGCTTGAGGTGACCGAGCAACAGCAGTCTTTCGTAGAATAGCATAAAATTCTGAGTATCTGCGGCAGGCCGTCTGCTCTTGCTCTGGAATTTTTAGCGAAAAATTTTAGGATGAAAAATCCAGGTGAGCAGTAGAATAACTGAATCTGAAGTGTGACCACCACATTTGAACAGGAAATGAAAAACATACAGCTTGAATTTCTGAAATTAAGCTTATGCCAAAAAAGCAAGGTATTAGTAGAGTAGGTACCTACCTGGTTGTTGTCACATGAAGGTTTTCCAACCAAGGAGATGCGCTATACCCGGAGATGCTTCTTTCTAACCGAACCAAAACAATCCTAGCCTGACCTAACCTAACCTACAATCTACAACCTACAAAACTACAGCACCTCTCCTTGGTTGGAAAACTTTTGTGTGGCATCCGCTCTCGCACTACTTATGGAACGCCAAGTTACCTACTTTCTAACATTATTCATACTAGAACCATCCTTATTTGATTGCCACATTGAACATTTAACACTCCAATCTATAACACCAATAAAAGGTAAGTTCAAAGAGCCTTCAAAACACTAAAGATACGACCATTTTTTCAAGCATTTTGATTTGTAAAGCATCTCACTGTTCTAACCAAGGCTATATAAGCCGTTCAAACTATTCAGTGTCCAACAGTGAGCAGTAGATTCAATACCAATAACCAATACATAACAATGCTCCATGCCATTTTCTTGAAAATCTCACTTTCGAAATTAAAATAAATGTTAATCACAAAGCTTAAAGCTACTCCTCATCCTCAGTCACAGCTAGACTCCAATGAACTCGCCTACATTGACTGATTGACATCGACATCGCGCCTAACAGCTCAGCTGCTATAATATTGAGGTCACTCAGAAACAAAACTTTCGTTTAAGCTTGTTATTAGCTTCCTTTTCGATAGAAGATCTATGAAAAAAAAAACATCCGCAATCCCCCATATCCACAACACCCACCAGTTCTCTATCTCTATATACCGTGCACCCACCGATGACACACCGTTTGGAGATTTCTTTTTACGAATCTCCAGTATCGAGCGTTGGAATTCGTCACATAATTTTGTGTTCACATGTCCGAAAAGCTGTTCGTTACAGATAAACCTCACTTCTGATTGGTCCATGCTTGATTGTGCTAGCGCTGACGACGTATGCAGCTGCCATCAATATGGACTTTCGATAGATGTCGTACCTGACCGCTATAGATGTCGGTAGTGTTTCTATCGTCGGGAACGTAAGTAAATCGGGTTACATACAAAAGTACCTACGTATCGCGTAAGTACGTAGAACATAAGTACGTAAGCAAAAATACGGATGGAAAAAGTACGTCAAGAACAAAAGTACGTATCGCAAGAGTAGGTACCTACGTACAGTATAAAATGCGTATGGACCAATGAACTAACCTAAAGGAGAAAAGTACGTATCGTAAAAGTACGTACAGTATAAAGTACGCATGGACAAAAGTACGTCAAGGACAAAAGTACGTGTCGCAAAAGTACGTACAGTACCTATAAAGTACGTATAGACAAAAGTACGTCAAGGACATAAGTACATACGTGTATAGCAGAAGTACGTAGGTACAGTAAAAAGTAGGTACGTGTGGATAAAAGTATCCGAGTAGGTACCTACTACCTACGAATGGACAAAAGTACGTCAAGGACAAAAGTCCGTATCGCAAGCTTGCACGTAAAGGTATAAAGTATGCACGTGTCACAAGTGTATCCTATGTTTTGTCTGAAGTGCGCTATGCTTGGTAGTAGCATATTCCCCGATTATTTTATTTACTAATAAATGCTGACTGCTGGGTTATTTATTTGTATTAGCACTTCGCTTGTTTGTTAGGGCTTTAAAACCCGCGAGTTGCGGGGGGGGCGTTAAACGCCCCCACTTTTTTCGCCGGGCCATAGCATAAAAACGGCGCGCCGCAGGCGCGCCAAATTTTGGGTACCTTTAGGGAATTGATTAAAGTTTATTGTGACAAAGTTTAAAAAAAATCGGTCCGAAAAATTTTGAGATATCGAGGTTTTAGTGACGTCATGATTTCTGAGTTTTCGACCAAAAACGGCATATGTTCAAAACATCATATAAAATCACAGAACAGACATACAGACATGCAGTAAACGCCATTAGACTGCCAATACCATGAACAATCAAATGGCTATCTTCGATTATTGATTATCGTTCCGCATTTTCCAAAATCTTGAACTGAATCTTGGCAATTTCTCGTGACTACTTCACGACCATAATACATGCATTTCTTAAATTGAACTTTTTGGGCCAAACACGTACACATATGATAAAATGAATGTCACCATCGTGTTCTACGCCCCAAATTACCCATAAAACATGTGTCACGGGCTACGAATATCAGTTTTGATTTTCGGGGATATGTGCCTACCCGGTTGACCTGACCTTGACCCTGACCTATGCTTGACTGACCCGTACATGGAGCTGACACTCTTGTAGGCCTTATATGATGGATTGTGCACCGTTTTGACAGAGTTTATGACAGGAGGCGCCCATTGCGAAGTCCTGGAGTCAATGCTACTGAAAGCCCGATTTCAGGTGTTTGACCTGACCTTGCAGGGCCTCGGCTAACATGTTAACTGGTGGGCCAAATGGCCCACCAGTGACCGGAAATGGCTCACCAGCCTCAAAGATTTGGCCCACCAGTAATTTTCTGAAAAATCGAAGTTTTCACATTTTACATCACGACATAGGTAACATCGTGATACAGACAGACAGAGGCCCTACTACATTGTTGCATTTATTAAAAGTAAGAACTTGATCGTCGTTGCCCGCCTAATACCATCACAATTCCCGGTTTCTTGAGACAGCCGTAGGTTAAGCCCCGGTCACACTTCACCGGATTGGACCAAAGGACGAGAAACGGACGGCGTCCGTTGATGTCCGGGGGATGTCCGTTCGTTTCCGTTGGACGTCCGTTTCTCATCCGTTAACCCGCGCCCTGCTGGGGGGGGGGGTGTTTGAACACCCCCCTTGTGGTTTTTCGCGAATATCTAAACCACGGCGGCGCGGAGCGCCGCCGTTTTTGGTACACCTTATCATACATCAATTCTACACATGTTGTAAAAATTTCAGACCAAGGTCATTCAAGGTCAGGTCACCAGGTCACTTGAAGTGACCTCACCTCATAAAAAGTTTCAATGTCTGTCATAGCTACACCGAGTGACCGATCGGTTTGAAACTTTCAGCGATTGCTAAGAGCAATAGCATGTACAAAATGTTTATCTCAGAATTTTGATATTGATGACCTAAGGTCAGGTCAGTTTTGCGACCTCCCCATTATAAGTCAATGGGAGAAAATTGAAATGCGCCTCTTTTGGACTAAAGACATTATAAACACTCCCAAACACCGAATTACAAGTGGTTTAGACACACTGAACATGAAAATGGTGTCCGTGACCCTTGTTTATGCCCTGAGGTCATCTTAGGTCACGAACGGTATCTAACAGTTTTTCGCAAATAACTTTTGATAGAGGCATGCTAGAGCGATGAAAACGCCTTAGATGTGTTCAGCTCGACGATACGGATCGACTGATATGCAACATGACCCTTTCCGGTCAGGTCATGACCTTGACCTGAGGTCAAATTTTCAAGTTGACCTTTCAAGGTCAAGTTATAGTTCATTCGATGCGTCTTGACGAGAGGAACACGATGCCGGTAACAGTAAGCTCGTACAGGGCTTGGGTCAAAAGTTATTGCAGAAAAACTGTTTCCGAAAAAATCGGCTATTTTTGCAGTTTTTGCCCCCTGCAGGCAAAACCGTTGACGTTAGGTCAAATCTGAGAGAATTACGCAGAAAGGGCGTTAATAGGGCTCAATCGAATGCGCTTTTCCGCGGCGCTGTAGCTCTATTGGTTCCCGAGTTATGCGTTGGCTTCTTGGAAATTTTCGACATTCGACCTGGAAATCGGCGAAATTTTGCCTTCAATGACCTCTGGTGACCTGACCTTTGACCTGACCAAAAAATTGACCGAAGTGATTTCGTCATTATTTTCGACGCTCTTTCGAACGCCGCCTTCTGCGTATCGCTACGTGGCCCAGGAGCCGAGTTACAAGGGGGCGTGTTCAAACCCCCCCCCCAGCAGGGCGTGGAAATCCAGGACCCCCAGCCGGGCGCGGGTTAATATCTGTTCCATGTCCGGTGGTGTCCGGTGCGCTCAATCGGACACCACCGGACATGGAACGGATATTAAAGGATGACAAACGGACGTCCAACGGAAACAAACGGACATCACCGGACGCTGACAGTTCTCGTCCGTTTCTCGTCCGTTGGTCCAATCCGTTTAAGTGTAACCGAGGCTTTAAATTTAATGCAATAATCGTGAAAGACGTTTGCCTCTGTCAATTACAGATAGTGCCGGCAACTTCCAGCCGATTGAAGTCTGCAAGCGATATTATGCGTCTTCACGAACGGTATGATGCTTGCAGTCGCACATCTGACCAGTTGGACGAATTTCGAACCGTTCACAGTCAGCGTTCCAAAAATTTCTCATTCGGGCTGAAGATGACACTCAAGAAAAAGAATGGATAATTTTCCACTTTCACATTTTGGGTGGCTAGAATTTTCCACTCAGACACCCAAGAGAAATCTGAAGTTTGGGACATTGTTCACCAGAAGTGTACATAACTTAGTTTTTTTTAAAGAAAATATTAGAGTTGCGCAGTGCGCTTTTGAGTGAATTCTTTTCCATGCGACACCAATAGGCTTAATGATCATTTTCAGAGATGTTGGGGCTGCTGCTACAATTCCCCTTTTGGGGTTCCAGCTACAACCCTTTTTTGGGGGTTCCTGCTACAACCCACTTTATATATAAAGTTGCACTTGTGCTGTTCACAATTCCTCCCGATCCACCAGACAACGCCCGATCCCGTCCGACCGCTTCCGAATCTCCGACTAACTAGTCGGCGAGCGATCCATTCAAGGCTCGCTGATTTTTAACATCCGACCGGCCGTAAGTTATCGTCCAAAGTTTTATAATCTGCGTCAATATTTTGTGCATACTTGTGCAATTTCATGTGCACCGCCGGAGTATCACCACTGAGAGGGTTGAGGGTCCCTACTCTCTCTTCTCTCTCTGAAGAGTCGGGGGGGGGGGGGGGGGGGGGTCGAGCCCCGTTTTTTTTTTTTACATTTTTTAATGCCATCCGTTTTTTGCAGAATAAAGTGGCCGAAATCTGGGGAGAAATCGAAAATGGGGGGGGCTATGGCTACGAAGGTCAGTCCATGTCGCTGCCCAAGTGGCCCACCAGTCAAAATTCCTTAGCCGAGGCCCTGTGACCTTGACCCAACCTGTGACCTCAAAATTCAACTTTAAAGTACTCATCTGAAGCGTCTCGTCGCGTTCTTTCGTTTGCCGCCTCGTGCGTTTCGCTGCGCCTATTGGTTCTCGAGTTATCGGCTGGGGGCGTTTAACGCCCCCCCCCCCCAGCAAACAGTGGGTGGCGAAATACCCCAGCAACTGCCGGGTTAAGGTGCGTCGACTGCAGAGGTCATTTTGCGCCCATTTGATTTATCCCTCGCCGGCCGAGGGCGAAGGGGGCGGGTGCCGACCCCCCATCCCCATAGTTTTTTTTTCGCGATAGTTCCGAACACGCCGGCGATAGAGAGCTGAAAATTAGCATACCTGGCCTTTGATCCAAGCCGCATCTTGTGACACCAACCGCATTTTCAGGTCAGGTCAGTTCACTGACTTATGTATGACGTCATAACTCATAAGTGAACCTCTGCACGGTCCTCGGTCCGTGGGGGGAGGGGGGTGGCAACTATGTAGTTG